ATTTTGGTTTTGAAGTTTTTGGGAATTCTAGGATTGGATTTGGGTTTTTGGAGTTTGGATTAAAGTTCTGGAAGGTTTTTAGAGGAATATGGAAAAACTGAAAATTTTTGGAATTTTTTTTGGAAAAATCTGGTTTTTGGATGAATGTTTGAATTTTTTGACCAGATTTGAATTTTTTAGTGAGATTCTGGTGATTTTTCTATAAATTAGCAAAATTTTTCAGTTTTTGGTTGAATATTCTTGGTTTTTTTTTTTTTAGAGAAAGGTCAAAGCTATTTCTTATTTTTATTCTCACTATTATTACTATATTATTAGTATTGTTATTCTATAGGTATAATAATATTATCATATCAAATCATAAAAACCACTATTATATTATTAGTATTATTATATTTTATTTTTACTTTTATTTTTCTAGTTCTTTCCTTTTATTTTTTGGATTTACGTTTGAATAAGAAATTGAGTTTATAATCGAATCAGAGGGATCAAGCTATTTGGTCAAAGATTTTATGTAGAACTAAATCACTAGACTTTTTAATTTGATTCAAGAAAATTAGCCAGGAGGAAGGGTGAAAATTATGCTTTTGGTAGATTCATCCTAGAATTCAAGCCCGGATTGGTTCTATGCCGTCCTTAGAATTTTTATTGAACATTTGCTTATAAATTGGACAGATTACTTATAGAACCATGATTTGGTTGATTTGAGGAGAAATGGTTGTTGTTTCATTTCTAGAAAAAGTCTCTAGGCTATAAGGTTTATGGGATTTTGGTTTTGAAGTTTTTGGGAATTTTAGGATTGGATTTGGGTTTTTGGAGTTTGGATTAAAGTTCTGGAAGGTTTTAGAGGAATATGGAAAAACTGAAAATTTTGGAATTTTTTTTGGAAAAATTTGGTTTTGGATGAATGTTTGAATTTTTGACCAGATTTTGAATTTTTTAGTGAGATTCTGGTGATTTTTCTATAAATTAGCAAAATTTTTCAGTTTTCGGTTGAATATTCTTGGTTTTTTTTTAGAGAAAGGTCAAAGCAGAAGGCTTTTGAAAAGGAAAATGCAGGACTTGGCTTTTATGGCATCCCAAAACAACACCATTTTGAAAAGCCTAAATCTATGTGTAACCCAAATAGGATCTACACGCCACCCATGGTTTGACCTGACCCAATCGTAGGTTTTTTTTTATTTTAATTTTAATTTTTTATATTTTAAGTCCTTTTATTTTAAGTTTTTTTTATTCATTTTATTTTATAGGTTTTTATTATCTATTTATTTTTATTGAGTAACTTATTATTTATTAAATGTTCTGCAAAAATAAAATTTTTATTTATGGAAAACAATAAATAAAATAAAATAAAAAAATTTTCAAGTTAAATTTTTAGGCGAGGATTGAATTTTTCGATGGGATTTCAATCACTTTTTCAAAAATCGATAAAACTTTTTAGTTTTAAATTGAATCTTCTTGGTTTTTTTTCTAGAGAAAGGTTAGAGCATTTCGACTAGAGAAAAAGATAGCAAAGGGCTTCTGAAAGGAAAAATGCAAGACTTTGATTTTATAACATCCTAAAATGATACCGTTTTGAAGAGCCTAGATTCACGCGTAACCTGAATAGGATCCACACGTCACTCGTGGTTCGACTCAACTCGATCATAGGCTTTTTTTATTTTAATTTTTAATTTTACTTTTTATATTTTAAATCCTTTTATTTTTATTTTTTTATTCATTTTATTTTACTGGTTTTTATTATCTATTTATTTTTATTGAATAACTTATTATTTATTAAATGTTCTACAAAAATAAAATTTTTATTTACGGAAAACAATAAAAAAATAAAATAAAAAATCTTTTCAAATAAATTCATGAATCCTACTAAACTATTAGAGGATTTTTCATGGATTTAAATTTTATGGAAATCCACCAAACTATTGGAGAATATCATAAATCAGTTTTCAAAAGAAATATTTTTATCTTACCAAACTATTGGATGATTGCTTTTTAAATTAAGTTTTACTAAATTATTGGGAGACTTAATGAATTTTTTGAAAAAAAATATATATTTTATAAATACTTTTACAATAAAATTTCATCAAACTATTGGGAGATCTATTCAAAGTAAATCCTATCAAACTATTGGAGGACTTTACTAATTTTTTTGAATAAAATATATTAATAAATTCAATGACAGAGCCTCTTCAGGGTATGACACTAGTCTCTATGAATACTTTTGAAGTGATAAAATTATCTTAAATTGCTACCAAATAAGTGGGGTAATTTTAGGATTAATTTTTAATATTAAATATTTTGTTAAATTACAAACATATAAGCTTGATATTGAATAATTTTTTGATGACCGTTATGAGGGTGCTCTAACCTTCCTCATAGTAACCGCACTCTCGAACCTAAAATCTGATTTTGTGGATTAGAATATATTCTTTAAAGATACCAAAGTCAATCTTGAGACCCTTGTTTAAATGGGACAGATTCAATCAGGTGGCTAATCACGCCAAAATAAAAAAAGTTGGTGGTGACTTTTCTAATCTATGTGTAGCGGTAGGTCTACAGATTTATACGTTATGAAACTAGTTGATATAAAATGCAAAAGAAGAAAAAAAGAAAAAAAAACCCATAATCTTCTAAACCTAATTGCTAACCTAAACCTATAATACGTTACCATACTCTAACCTTAAACCAAGAATCATAATCTAGCCAATGTTTAATCAAAGTAAAAATTAAACAACAAACCAACAACAAAATCGACAATACTCGCTCTTTTCTTGTTTGGCTTTCAATTGTGTTGATTTTTCTTAATAATCCAAGGAGCACAACTTTAGCATGATTACTAATTGGTGGACCACATTCTAAGATTGCTATTTGACCAAGAGGTCCTCAAATTAGCTAGCAATTCATAATGACAAAAAGGAATCACCAAATTAGGGTTTTTCGTCCTAAACTTAACAATTGAAAAACCTAAATCCAGAAGGAAAGAAACAAAATTACTGCTGGGAATAAATGGGGAGAGAAGAATAACATGAAAGATGAGAGAAAATGAACTAATTGACTAGGTTAATGAAAGAAAAAGAAACTTGAAAGAAAAACCCAAGAAAAATAGCTTATGTGGAACTTTAGTATTGCCATTTGGGTTATTTTAACATACGTGTAATTTTTTTAATGCTATCTAGGTTATTTTAGATGCTAGGTCAAACAACCGTTATTGTTTAATGCCCCAATGACTAATAAAAAAAAACACTAATTCAAAATTAGTGACCAAAATGAAAAAAATAATACTTTAATGACCAATTTAAAAAGACTAATAGTTTAGTGACTATTGAGGTATTTTACCCTAAAAAAACATAGGCCAAGTGTTTCAAAATGTGAAGCTTTGAACTGCCCGATCGAAGTAGAGTAATCCAAATCCAAATTCCAAAATATTTGTAGAGATGGTAAAATTGATTCGAAACCTAAAAATTTGTGACTGAATCCCGATCAACCCGAATTAATAAAAAAAAAAGTCAAAGACTAAAACCCAAAAAAATTTGATCTGAAAAATTTAAATTCAAAAAATTTGAATCCAAAAAGATTAAAAATCGATATAAATTGAATCTATCATAACCTGAATCCATAATGATTCGAACTCAAGATCAATCCAATATAATAACTGTAAAAAACTTAATTATAACTTGAGGCGGAACTATAATTATATGATTTTTTTAAATAAAAAATAAATATTTTTGTTAACTAAAAATTTAAAAATGTTATTATTGATAATTTTGCATAATTATATTAATAATAATTAACAAAATTAATGGTAAAATTTTAATTTCAATTATAAAATAAAATTAATTTGAAACACACCAAACATTAATATCTAATGATTGTTAACATTATTATCTCGTTATATTTACAATAATTATCAATATAAAAAAATGCTATCATTAATTTAAAATTTAATTTATTATAAAATATTCATTTACAATACAATATTGATTCATTATACTTATTCCATATAATTGAATCTTAATTTTAATAAATTGATAATTCAAATATAAATAAATTATATCATAATTTTAATATTTGATTTAATTTGATGCTTTGAGATAAACATTGATACCATTGTTAACAAAAAATTAACTTTAAATTATATTTTTAATGTTTCAAACATATTATGTTAAAATTTAAATTTTACTTGAAAATAAAAAAAAATATCTTATTAATTAAAATATTATTTTAAAATTAAAATATAAAGTTAAAAAAGTTAAATAATTAAATAAAATAATATAATATCCAAACAAATATAATAAAATAAAAAATGTTCTTCCAATCCTAAAATTAAATAACGAAGTTTTCAAATTCTTAAGAATAATACATCATCATCAAGATCAAGTCACTTGAATATCTAAAATTTAACCCTGCAAATTACAATTAAAGTAATACAATTATTGTTAATAAAAAATTTTCAACTTTTTTGTCAACAAAAAAAAATTATTACAAAGTAAAATATTAATATAGGTTGTAATAAAAAACTCTTAATCCTTTTTCCCAAGATAATTAATTCAACATTGATAGAGTCTTAGACAAGACAACTAAGTTTTTTTAATAATATTTATTATTCAATTTTATGAAATTGGAATATTTTAACTTTTATTTAAAATTGTATGATGGACTAAAAAATAATAGATAATATTTAAGGATAAAATTAATATATAATATATATTCATGCAAACATATTATTTTTAAAATTTTAGCATTAATATTTTTGTAATATTTTTATTTAATTATATAAAAATAAATTAATATTTAATTCAAAATTTAAAAAAATGTTTATAACTTATAAATTTTAAAAAATATTTTGAATTTATCTGAGCAATAAGCCTACCCATATCAAATCAAACCAAATTTAAAATAATCTAAATCTAAAATAATTCAAATTTAAAATTATCTAAATTTGAAAAAACCTGAATAAAAAAAATCTAAACCCAATATAACCGAACCGAAAATAAACTGTAACCCAAAAAATCAAGACAGCTAAACCGAACCCGCCCAACCCGTTTGCCACCTCTAAAAATCTGTAGTTCAGTTAATAGAAGCCGTGGCGATGGCGATGCCCAAATTTATCCATTGCTCCCTGCGTGAGCTACCGCCTTCGCCTTACAACCAATACAAAAGGAGTAAAACTGCAACTCTTCTCTCTTGACTGTCAAATATCAGCTGAGTTTTGAAATCTTAAAATTTAAAACAAAATCCACAACAAACGAAGTGCTAAATCCATATCCTTACCAATAGTAACATGGCGTCCTCCATTTCCTTCACGTCGACACCCCCTTCCACTTTCCCTTTGTTCCACCATAAAAATCCATTCCCTTCCCATCCAATCTCAGTCCCCTGCCAAAACCCCAGCAACAGCTCTGCCTCTGCATTACTCCCTCTCTGCTTTGCTGCTAAGTCCCACGCGGGTGGACCTGTCAAGAAACGGTCGTCCTTAGCGGCAGGGAATAAGAAGAGGAGGAAGAGAAAAAGCGGGGATGGTGATGATAAATTGAAGGAGCTGAGTTTGAGGGATTTTGAGATTGTGGAAGAAAATGATGATGTTGATGAAGAGTCGTTGTCATCTTCTTCTTCTACTACTAATACTACTACTACTACTACTACGCGTTCCTTAGCATATCATCCTCCACCACTGCCCAAACCGCCTGCTGGGTTTGTTGTTGATGACACCGGCAGGGTTCTTATGGCCTCAAACAAGAGAATTGCCACTATTGTGAGTTTTTTTGAAGCCTTTGGTTATTACTTTCACTTACTGAACTAAGGTTTGGTTGTTGATTTTGCAATTTGGTTGTTTCTCGAATTGAAAAAAAGCAGAAATCATAAAATTATAAACTTTTATAATGGTTTTGAATAATTTTTTAAAATTAGCATTGTAAAATTGAAAATGCAATGCATAACTTTATTTTCATATGAATTAACTGATTATGTTATAAATATCTATTTACTAGAAGACTGTATAATATTTGACTGCTCTAAGCATTAAGAAAAAGACTTCTCTTTTGCATTTGTAAACATGATATATTGGGTAAATTAATCATTGCTATTTGAAGAAGTATATCAGTATTAGCATAGATAACTGATAGTGTTGTTAAAGTCTATTATCATCCAGATGCTTCTAGCACTAGAAAATTAGATAACAATTCACTGATTTTGACATGTGTAGCTTTTCACAGTAAGCTACCTTGGATTTTTGAAGTTACTTATTGACAATTGACCAGCTTCTCTATGCATGATTAGGGTTGTAAACAAGTTGAGTTAAGCCCAGTCTAGTACCTTTCTCAAGCTCGGCTTATGAGCTGGACACAAAGAGGCATAGCTACAAGTGATAAAATAAAGACTAGATGAAAGAAAGCCAAAAATGCTTCAGATTAGCATTTTTTGGCTGAGTATCCTTGTTAGTATGACTCAAAATAGAAAAAGACTATGAGATTGGATTAGATTGCAAAAGGTGTCAGTAAGGGTAGGCAATGCCATTAACTTGGCCAAATCAATGCCCTAATGAAATCATGCTTATAACTGTGTTTTTAATGTAGAAAAGGTAGGGAAAGAGGGAGAAAACAGAACCTAGAAAGAAATCTCAGGGAAAGGTGAAGTATGGGGGAATTTAGGGGAGAGAAACAGATAGAACCAAGAGAGGATAATCTCAAAATTAAATATTTTCACCTCTTAATAATCCATATCTAAAGCTACCAATAATTGAAATAACATAAGGTACCTGTTGGTTACACCCTAAACCCTAATATAAATGTGAACTACATGCGTTTTATTTTTATTACCCTATTTGACTTTCAAGGAGCTTAAGGAAAAACCTTTGACTTTGGTGTACCTTATATTAAAATTTTAATTTTTTGTAAAACTGATGTTCTATGAATTTTAATGCAAAAAAATAAAGAAAATGAAGAAATAATTTTAAATTATAGAAAAAAAATAAGAGTACTAGGTGTTCATAAAAGAAAAGAGGACATAGTTTTGGAACATCAAAAAGAAGATGGGCACAGAAAATGAGACTGAGGGAGTGTTAAACATAATCCTAAAATATCTTAAATTCTAGAAATGACAATAAAGCCCTTAAAAAGTATGACAAAGTAGTTACATAAAGTCTTAAAATAATTTTTTAATTCTGCAATCAGCCTCTTTTTGTCCTTCATCAGTTTAACTGCAGCTAAATTGCTGTGTGTGATAGCAGCTATGATGTTTAGCAGTCAAAGCTAGCTATGTCGTTTAATTGCTTAAAAAGCTTGACTTATCTTTTTCCATTCATGTCTTGTTCTACCACTCTGCTCTGTCTGATTCCAGTTACTTTACTCAGGCAAGTCCCAAAAATTTTCAACCGTACCTTGGGTTACATCTATTTTGGGATTAGAATATGCCAATAAATCCTTTCCAATATAAATGAAAGAGAGTTTACAATGATGCATTGAGTACTTTGTTCTAATGCTCTCCATGCTCATTAAGTAAAATAGTTATTGCTTGTTGTGACTATAAATTTTTCATAACTTGTTCTAAATGAGTTATTTTTTTGCTTTTTCTTTATTCTAGTAAACAGATTAAGTTGTTTGCTTCTTTTCATCTCTAAATTTAATCTAAAGAAATTATGGACAGGTTGATTCTGTCAACAACAACCCATTAGAGTGTGTTATAAGGAGGGTATTCAAAAGTTCTCGGGGGGATGATTGTATGCTGCTCTGCCCAGTTGACACGTACGTATTGTTGCTGTCTAATTCATGGGAAAAATATATGACATTAACTATTGCTGATTCTAGATATTTGATAAGAGCTTGGTTTCTGCAGGCCTGTTCAGATATTAAAGAATACAAATATTGATGGATGGTCAGCTGTATGTTTCCTCTTCCACATTGGTTTTTATTCCTGCCTTGAATCATTTTAGATTTATTTGTTAACTATGGAATTTTCCCTGTGGAGGATTTGGTTGGGAGTACTTTTTTTAATAGCCATTGAAAGGACTTTTGATTGTGTAGGATTCGTTAATGGTTGTTTCTTTATGATAGAAGAAAACATCCCATATCCATCCCGCAGAAGAACTATCAACTCATCTTTCCCTCTTCCACAGGGTCTACGACCATGCTAACCTACCTACATGCTTCTTCGTTTCAGGTCAGTGATGAAGAAGTTGAAGCTATTCTTCCTATTGCTGCATATGCTCTTGCCAAAATACATATGCATCTGGTCCACAGCGGGTGTGTTCATAAAATCAGTATAGCTTGTTTCTCCTTGATTTCTTGATAATATATATTCCATTATCTTCGTGTTGCATTAGATTCTGTTATACAGCTCGTGGAGGATTCTGCTACTCAGAAGATGACATATTTGATTTCCGCACAGGCAATCTCTTCTTCTTATCAGCTTTATGCTTTTGCTTTTGGCTTTTATGGTTTTCTAACATGTTTGACCGGACATTCTCCAAAGTTAAAAGTCATGCAAACTTTTCTGAACTTTTTTAGTGAACTTCTCCGAACTTTTAATGTAGGGTGAATTGAAGAGATCTGCCTCTGCAGATTTTGAGGCAGTCTGAAGGGTGAAAAGTATGTTTTTAGGTTTTGGCATTGTAGAGAACTAAATGTGTGAGGCAAAGCTATAGTTGCGGAATTTTACCTCTAAAAGGAGTACCAAGTTTGAAGCCCCATCTTTCCCTATTTAACTATATATAAGAAAGAAAAAGAAGTTTTGAATTTGAGTATTTCTTTTGCCCTTGTGAGTGAAGGGAGAGGCGAAGAGAGTTAGAGGGTAGGGCATTCTATTTCTCCTTGTTTGGAGCTTGTTTAAAGGCAAGTGAATGGTAGCATCACCTTACCACACATTTTCTGCCCTGCTCTTTTCCTCTGAATTGCAGAAAATTCGGGGATGAACATTCCTCTTTTAATGAAGCTTTCAAATCTCCAGAAACTATCCTTGTAGATTAATTTTCAATCTACCTATAATTAAGATAAGACAACAGCATGATCCTTTATGGATTCTAAGCAATATTGTGGAGAGGTTGCTTGGTTGAATGGGGTGAGAATTATTGGGGTGTTAGGATTCAAGAAGTACGAAGAAACAATTCAGCTTAGGATCTGGGTATGCTGCACTTTATAGACGACATTGATTTGCTTTCTTTAGCTTTCCCTGTTTTCTTCTGACACCGTCCAATACTTATTAGGTATTCTGTTGTGAGATATGCTATGTTTATGCTTGGTGCTTAATTTTGCAGATGATGGTCAAGATATAGATGGCTTGCCAACTGAAGGCATAGAAATTACATGCTTCCATCTAGTAATAACCCACAATTTTCTTTCCATTTCAATGTTTCATCTGAAGTTGATCTGGCTTGCATAAGTTAAAGCTCTTCTTTATAGAGCTGCATTGCTGCATTTACATCATGATTAAGAATTTTCGAACTGCTATTTTGTTTGCTAATGTGCTCTTATTTGTTGGAATGATAATCTTGTGATTCCTAATAGTTAAAGCTTTTGGTGAAAATTGATTTTCTATTTTATTGTCTGATAGTATCTAGGGAACATGGAAGTGTAAAGTTGAGCAATAGCAGATAATGGGAAACTTGAGAATAGTGAAATTGTATTGTCATTGACAACTAAAGGTGTCAATTTGGCAGGTCAGGTTGGGTTTAGGTCAGGTGATTTTGAGTTGAAGAAAAAATTGGGTTGTTTCGGGTTTGGGTCAAAGTTTAGGTCTTTTGGGTTTGACGCTTGGGTTATTTGGGTTTGGATCATCGGGTTAGGGTCCAAATTGTTGAGTTTTAAAGTCAAATTAGTTTAATTCTAAGTCATTTCGGGATAGACTTTCAGGTCATTCAGGTTTAGGACATTGGGATAGAGATTTATATTCTAACTATTTGGCATTGACATTATAGAGCTTTTGATGTAGAACAATTAGTCTCTAACTAAGTTCCCAAGAAAATAGTCTAAAAACTTAATTTCAAAATCTCAATACTCAATTCTCAGTATCAAAATCTTGACTATTAAATGCCCCCTCTCAAAGTCTCACAAAACCCTATTAATATGAGCTTCCTCATAAACTTAATTTTAAGCCACATAATAAAACAAATTCCACCAAATAAATAAGGAAAATTCAAATAAAATAAATCCAAGAAAGCCCAAATAAAGGAAAGCGTATTTTATCATTTGCACCTAGAATAAACATTCTTCCAAAATTAGGAGGTCGTTGCTTTATCTTGTCACCAATTTTCTCCATACCTTCTTAAAAATCATCAGTCATCATGTCCTTTTCTTGTTGAATAACATTATTGTTGATCTTCCTGTGAATTTTATCATCTTCAGTTTGAAGCAAATCAGTCTTCACTTTTGCTAAATCTGCTTTCTGTGATGCATTGGTATAACTTGGTCTTGTTCTTTGTCGGTGCTTCTAACTTGTTAGGATATCATTTGTTTCTGGTATTATATCTTAGTGCCTTAAATATTTTGTAAAACCATATGTTAAGGGCCAACTATTTGTATTTTCCAAAAATGATGCCTCTTAAATCGGTTGATCACTCTCTCAGTATTACCTCTAGAACCACTTAGTAGTCTGTGTTCATAGACATTTGTGAAATCACAGTGAGAACTACTGACTGGGAAATTTTGAGTGGTCATGTCATTTCCAAGGAATATTAATTATACTGCAAATGCTGGATTCATTTATATTCCCTTGTGTTGCAAAATAAAAGTTCTATAACATGTTGAAACTCTTCCCTGCTTTTTATAAACCTCCTTGTTGATCCACTTGTGGGAGAAATAATGCTGGGTCTTTTCTGAGTTTATTAGTTCTTAAGTTTAGGAGTTAGATCTTTATATTTTCAATTTATTTTTCCTTCATTTCTCTAGTTCTCTTTCTTTTTTTTTTTGGCCAGATAGTTCTCTTTCAATACTCATGTTTACCCTTCACATATGAGGGTTGCATCCTCTTTTGGGTATTTTGAGCAAGCCTTTTATCAATCATAATTCGGCTTTTATTCCCTTTTTTATGGTGGCAGTAACTTTTATTCATATAAGATTGGGTGTCTTACCATCCATTTTCCTAACCTTTGTTGATGTGAGTTTGCTGTTAAAATTTGATGCTTTATATAAATAGAGTGATACTGACTTGATATGTATTTAGATGGTTCTCATGCCCTGTGACCTAAAATATAGTAGTTACTTTTTAACAGCCACAGAGATGCATCTAAAAACGCATCATTCATTAAATACGTGAATCTTACTGCAGTTTATTGAATACCCTCTTGGTGCCCATGTTTGACTTTTGCATGATTGTTGCATCCTCTTTTGGGTATTTTTATGTTTCTCACTTTTAACTCTTGTTCATAAAAAGATTGGATGTATTAGCGTCATTTTCCTACCCTTTGTTTGACTTGAGGTCTCGCTGTTAACATTTGATGCTTTATGTTAAAAGAGTGATGCAGAGTTTATATGTATATGGAAGCTTCTCATGCACTATGACCTAGAATATTGCACTTATTGTGTAAATGCTCACACATGGCATATTTTAAAATGCATGAATCTCACCGCAGTTTATTATTGTTGTTTTTTTTGTTCCACATAAGTTTGCATTTAAAAGTTACTCATCTGATAATAATTGGAAGTTCTCTTGTATAATAGATAGTTGTTTGATTATTAAGGTAGGAGGTGGGGCTGGAGGAAAATTAATCTCCTCTGTAAGTATTTTGGTGTTCAGATAACATGTGAATCAATTTTTTTGTCCAGAATTGTAGATAGAATCCGTTTATTTACTCAGAAGCTATGGGAGTGAAAAGAGCTATTTAACCTTTTTAGAAACAAATTTGAATTCCATTTTAAAAACTCTTAAGTGATTTTGTTTAAGGTCCATCACCAAAAGAGTATTTGCTACATAAATATAGTAAAAGAGGTTTAGCTATGTAAACATACAGACATTTGAAAATAGGGATATAACAGTCATTATTATTATTGTTTATTGTTATTATTGTTGTTCTTATTATTATATAATTAGACTTTTCTTACCAAATCCTGATTTTCTATGCAGAATGGTGCACATTATATGATTTATACACCGTCTGATCCACTTCTCTTTGTTGCTGTCAAGGTAACTATAAATATCGTTGAAGAAATTACCGTTTCAGGCTTAAATGTTGCTGGGCTTCCAGTTTTGTTTTGAATTATATTCTCTTGTGTCTAGAGTCTGGATTTTAAATTCATGTCTACAACCTAATAGCTTTAGAACTACTAAAAGGGAAATAAAAAAAGAGAAAGAAACATTATGAAGATTATAATGAACTGGGAAGCTGATAAAGCTGGGTTCCGGTTTCTGCAGGATCAGAATGGAATGCTGCAAATTGCTGATGATGTAAGCAACATTTTATATTTTGCAATAGTAATTATTGAAGTTTTTTTACTACTTAATTCTCTATTCCTCTAGATTATAACAGGGCGATAAATAGTGGTATACATTCATTCTCTGTTGTCAAGAATATTGTATTGTAATATACCTCTGTTGCTCTTGGTGTTCAATTTGCATGTTAATGTGCATGTACATGCTAACTCTCATTTAGAGCCCTTTACCCACTAACTTAAATAAGTTCCAGTGTGATTCAGTACACCATTTTTCCATCTTCTAACCACTTATGAATTTTGGTATGAAACTTGGAAAAAGTTACATGAAACAAAATTGTTGTTTTGAGGGCTTTGAGGCAAATTGAGAGCCAAGGGAGCATTTTGCCTGGCAGCAATCATGCCTAAGCGGTTTCAAATGCTGAATCACTCTGCATTGCCCTGATTCATTAGGAATGATCTGTCTATCTCTCTTGCACTCTTTCTCTTGCCCAATATAATTTGAGGCCCAATCTGCACGGCATGTCCATAGCTGTTTACTTTTGGTCTAAGGTTTGTTTTGTGGGCATAGAACTTTGTGTGTGTTTTTGTGTGTGTGTGTTTTGAGGGAGAGACAGACAGATCCATATTTTCCTAGATTATGTACGCTGGAGGATCTTCCTCACTTGAGAGGAATGATGCTGAGCAGTTGCTTTTCAGTTTGCAACTATCTATTGCCGTTGTATCTTCTCTTTATGTGAAAAAGGTTGTATGACCACATATTCGTGTATGGCTCTAAGTAGTGTGTACCATGTGCTAACAGGATCTCCTGGAGGACCCTGCTATCATGAGTGCCATTGATGAGGAAATTGAGTTTAATGCATTGGTGGTATGCCACGCTACTTATTACCTTATGTCAATGTGCTACTGAAATGACTTAATGATTGTTGTGGTTTTTATTCTCATTTTTTGCAGGAAGAAGAAGCTGCTCTTCTAGAATCATTGTTAGGTGATAGATGAGCAGGTTGCTCACATCAACTTTTTAGGTTGCCCAAACTGTGTTTATCTGGAAGAGGCCCGTTAATGTGTAGTTGAGGATTCATGGCAGCATCAACAGGAAGTCGATTAGTGTGCTGGTTGACAGTGGGAGCACACATAGCTTTATTACACCTAGATGAGCCAAGGAAGGGATAGAGCTGTTGCATACCAGTCCATTAGCCATAAATGTAGCCAATGGAGAGAAGTTATACAGCATAGCAAAATGTAGACAGTTGAAATGGATGATGCAGGGCCATTCATTCATTTATGACTTGAGGGTTTTACCTATGGGAGGTAGTAATATGATTTTGGGGGTTGACTGAATGAAAAGGTATAGCCCTCTAGTTTTTGACTTTAATGATTTGTCATTGTCATTCCAAAAGGATGGTAAACAAGTTACTCTCAAAGAGGATAGCCTCAGGCATCGCTCAAACTCATATGTGGGGAAAAACTATAGAAGTTAGTAGGGAAAGGTTCTGGTTGATGGGAGAATTATATATGATTAGTGTTGAATGTGATAAAACAAAAACCCCCACTGAGTTGTAGAATTACTTGCAGCCTATTTAGTATCTTTAAGGAACCACAATGACTCCCACTAAAAAGAACTTATGATCATAGCATTCCTCTGACGGTTGGGTCACAACCTGTTAAATGGAGACCACATAGATGTGCTCAAATTTGCTCTGCTTTCTTGCACGGCACGTCTGGTCAGCCAATCTTCTACACAACACCCCCTACCCTAGCTTACGTGCTTTTTTCCTTGTAGTGTCAGCTACAGTCATTGCACCAACAGTTAAATTCATCACAGAATTGATCTTCAATTTAGTTTAATCAGGGGTTTCGACTTGCAATTTTGATATAATTTTAGGCAAATTCACAGTTGTCAAAAAAAGACTAACATGTAGGTTTTGTTTGGTAAAAGATAGAAAATAGAAAGAGAAAAAGACAAAAAACTGTTTAATTCAGTGGTTATTTATAAAAAAAGGAGAAAGAACAATTTATAAGCTTTTAAAGGAATTAAACAATGAAAAATAAGCTTTTAGAGGAATTAAACAATGAAAAACAACTATCAACATTTTTAGTTTACAAGAGTAGTTGTTGGGATCTTGTTTTATTAATCTCATGTTTTATTCAGATTTTGGGGGGTATAATAGCTAATTTGAGTAGCTAATTTTGGTCAAAAGGCTCACTTGCCATAGTTGATTGTATGCATTGAACATGCAAAATTTTTTATTGATGTGAGGCAATTCAAGTTCGATTATTTGAAAAGCAAGATAAACAAGTTTGCACACAAGTTGATGAAACGAACAAACAAGTTTTCAAAAAAGTTTGGTTTTATTCAAATGCCACAGGTTTTATGTTTTGAACCTTTTGCTAGAATCCAAATGAAAATACTAAACTTGTAATTTTTTCTTGTTCAAAATAATAGATTTGATTATTATAACTCTTCTCTGAACTAGGATTCTACAGGAGGCGTAGTTCTTTAGTCTTGTCTAGCACCAAGGTGCTCTCATCTCAAGACCTTTTTTATGTGATTTTTGGGATTTATTAAGTTTTATTTTAATTGGGGTTTTTATTTTGATATTATTGAGTTGTAAGGTGAAATGACATCAACAATTTGAAAATAAGTAGGCAAAATTAACACTGTCAGATGAAGAAAAAGATTATGTAGATGTTTAGGGAACGGATGAGGAAGCAACTCAAGAAACCATGCGACTGTGGTTGGTAGATACGTTGCTAACAAAGCACCTTTTCAATAAATATGCAATGATCTCCTTTAAAAGAGTATGGAAACTGGTCAATAAGTTACATGAATCAATTTTAGATACAAAATATGTTTTTGTTTAAATTTGCATATAAATGAGACAAGTTTCGAAAACTAGATGGCTATTTTTGGTTGTTTGACAAATATCTTTTGCTACTGAAGCCATATAATGGTACATTGGGATTATTGTTTTATCAGTTTGCCTCTTCACTTTTGTGGATTGAAGTATATAAGTTGTCACTTGGATTATATAACAAACTAATGGCATTTTACGTTGGCAACAAAATAAGGCAATTAAGAGGAATAGATGGGGAAGATTTCTCAGGATGTGAGTAGATATTGATATTTCTAAGTCATTTAGGTGTGCTATTATCCTTCAATAGGCTACTAAAAACAGTAAGAACTAAAGCACTATTAAATATAAGAAGCAATCATCCTTGTGCTATGAATTTGAAAAATTAGGGCATAAAGAGTTTGAATGTGAATGTCTTAAAAAAAGAACCAAAATAGGGTAATAAGAATCGTATAAAGCAATATGAAGCATGGCTTAGAGCTTCACCTTTGAAAAAGAAAGGCTTAAAGGTGTTCATGAGAGAATAAGATTTGTTTTTAAAAGTGCATGTTGATATTTTTGTAATTTGAGAAAAAAAAATGGAAACACAGTAAATAGCAAAAGGCAGAGGAGATATGTGTTAAGTAACTACTGCTTCATTTCATTATTTGATATAATATATACAAATGCATGGTGATGTGGCTAAGACATATCTCCTTGTTTCATAAAGTTTTATATATTTAAAACTTAGTTTAACTAACATTACAACTAACACAAGGATTAGATATATTTCAAAAGATATTGTCCCTAGAGTACCATAGGAAAATCTCAATGTCTAACACTCTTCCTTGAAATTTTTCTTTGAGACTCCAAGTTTAGTCTTAAAAAAATTCAAACTTTGCTTTTAGAAGAGATATGGTCATTATGTTAGCAATTTGATCTTTAGCCCTCCAATGTATTAGGTTGACTTCACGAAGTTTTTTAGCTTTTTTAATTGTATAAAATTTCACATTAATATGCTTGATTTTGCTATGTTGAACAGGATTATTTATAATTGCTATAGTAGATTTGTTGCCAACCTATATTGCAATAGCTTTATTTTGGTGCTATTCCAAATTTGACAAAACTTTTTTAAGCCAAATGGCTTGGTTTGCTAAACTACAGTAGAAATATACTAAACTTCAACTGAGGATTGAGCCACCACATCTTGCTTTTTTGAATTCTAAGAAAAAACACCAATGCCAAAAGCAAACATCAATGCTAAAAGAAAAAATGTAACTTAAAGTGTTTTTGGAATCATTCACACTTCTTATCCAATCACTATTTGCATATCCTTAAAGCTTGCTACTTGTATTCTTCAAATACCATATATAATAATCAATTGTACCTCTGATATATCTTAAAACTCTTTTAGCTACACCATAATGAACTTGACCAGAAGATTGTATGAATCTTGAAAGCAAACTTAATGAGTACATTATATTAGGTTTGGTGGCAAAAAGATACAACATATTAACAATTAAGCTTCAATGGACAAAGGCATCAACTTTGCTTACAATATCATTCTTTGACAATTTCTCATTGACCACAAATAATGTAGCCACTAATTTGCTCTTTTCCATATTGAATTTCTTCAAGATCTCCAAAACATGTTTCTTTTATGAGATGAAAATCTCAACATCTTGATGATTCCAATTCCAAGAAAATATCTCATTTACCTAAATCAGACATCTTAAATTATTTTTTTATATTCAACTTGAATTGTTTTAGAGAACCCTTATCACTACCTATGACTAACAAGTCATCCATATATAATGACACAATAAATTGTACTTTAGTTTCAGATTTCTTTACATATAAAGTAGCTTCGCTTTCATTTCTTTAAAGCCTTTTTGTAGGAGATAAGCATCAATTTTGCTACATCAAGCCTTTAGTGCTTGTTTAAGCAATAAAGAGCCTTGTGAAGCTTATAGCCTTTATTTTTACTACTTACATCTTGAAAACCTTTTGGTTGCTTAACATAACTATCTTTTTTAAGCAATCCATTTAAGAATGCTAACTTTAAAACTAAATGGTAAATCTTCCATCTCATTTTGGCTACTAAGGCTACTAAAAGTCTAATTGTATCATGTCTTACCATAGGAGCAAAAGTGTTTGAAAAATCAACATCTGATTGTTGTAAATAGCTTTTAACAACTCATTTGGCTTTGAGTTTGTTTACTGAACCATTCAAATTTAGTTTGGTTATGTTAGCCCATTTTACTTCAACCATTCAAATGTTCAAATGAAGGCGTTACTTTATGCCATGCTTTATAAGAAGTTTTGCCTTGTAATGTTTTGTAACAGTATATTCAACTAACAAACTAAGGTATTGACTACCTCACCTTAAAAATTTTTAGGCAGATTTTTTTCAAATAATAGACACCTAGTCATTTCCTTGACTATTCTATTTTTCTTTTCACTCACATCACTTTGTTGAGGAGTGTAAGGAATAGTTAGTTGATGTTTAATCGTAACTTGATCATTGAACTTCTTGAACTCCCTTAAGGTGTAATTTAGCAAATACTTATGATTTTTGCTTCAAGAAAGAACATTTAACACATCCTTGTAAAGTTATCAATAAATAACAAAAGGTATTTGCTATCATTTAAAGATGGTGTCTTCATTAGACACATACATCAGTATGCACCAGTTGTAACCTCTTTGAAGCTTTTTAATTTACTTTGGGTGGAAATGGTAGCCTCATTTGCTTGTTATATTGACATATAATACAATTTTTATCATGTATGCTAAGCAAATTCTAAACTAAATTATTCATAGGCATGTGCTTCAAAGATTGAATAACTAAAGTGACCTAGCCTTTTGTGCTACAAATTAGAATCATTTATTGTACTAAAGCAAGCATACATTTTTGTTTATTTCTATCCAATTGAAAATTTTTTGTTTCATCTTGATTGAAATCAATTTTCAACCAGATGGATCAAATATGATGCATGACATGTTATTAAAATTTAAAGCATAATCCCTTTCAAGCATTTATCCAACACTCAAAAGACTTTGACTAATTTTAAACACAAATAACACATAAGAAATGAATTTTGTACTTGAGGAAGTCTTTACTGCAACAATACTTCTTCTTTTGATATTAATATATTCTTCATTGCTAATCTTCACTTTTGAGATGTAGGAGTTGTCCAACTCTTTAAAAATCTCAGCAATAGGTGTACCCACTGTCTATCAACCAAGCTTTTTTGTTACTACTAACCGTATAAAATATAGCAACAAAAAATCTTTTTTCATATCCTTCATGGTTTTCAAACACTTAAGCTTGTGTTCCTTGTTGGTTTGCTTTATTTTTGCAAGCATTTTTCACGTCATCAAGTAGGTTGCATGCTTTACATTTCACTCTAGGCTTAAGCCAACAATAATTTCTAGTGTTTCTTTTTATAACGAGGATAAGTTGAATACCTTCACATTATAAACACCCTAATTTATCCGAAATCATTTGTAAATTCTAAAATTTGTTTGTTTGTTGATTTATTTATTTATTTTATTTTTGGACTATCAAATGGATAGATGATTGTAAGGCATAACATTATAGTCTTTGTTAAATAATTGAGTTAAAGTTGGCTCTTGTTGAAACTTAGGCTGTGATAGATTCTAAACCAAGCCCAACTCCATTTTTTTTTTATGAATTTTACTTTTTTTATCCTATTTATCTCTTTTGCAAAAAGTTTTGAAATTAAAAAATTGTAAAAATAAACAAAGTGATAAATAAGGAAAAGAGAAGTAGATGGATTTTGAAGATAAGTTGAAGATTTTAAGGTTAAATGATAAAATAATCGTTAAAATCAACTCAATCAATCCTTTGTTTTGATTTTAAATGCTAAATAAGCTAAGATTAAAGGCCTATATAAGAACGGGTAAATTTACCCAATAAATACATAAAAAGCAATTGTACATAGAGTAAGAAAAATATTTTTTTGTGGTAAGGTTTTTGAAAATATTTTTTTTTCGAGAATTTAATTCAATCTAATTTTGAAGAAATTAGTGTCATTGAAAGATCCAAAAAACCCAAAAATTTGAAATGAAGTTTTTAGAAGATTATGGAAAAAACTTAAAATTTTGGATGAACTTGAAATTTTTCAATAACTTTTTTA